AGAACATGGACTTAACGACTAGATTGGAGCGACGCCATGTGATTGTGTGTGATTTGAAACTATAAGGTAAGCGACTGTTGAAACAAAGTGAGGGGAGGACCAAAGATTGGGGGATTGAAAACCGGGGGGATGAAAGTGAAGTTGGAGTGGGAAGCTAAGGATGAAATACGCAAATGGGGGAATAAGAAGGCGCAAGGTTTGAGCAATAACATCTAAACCCCTATCCACCCTGCTCGATGTAGCAGATAGGGCGCCGTTTATTATCCTCTGCGACGGCCAGAGCATCAACAGATTCTTAGAAGGAAAAGTCATGGTGTATTGCGTGAGCAGTATACTGTCAGGTTGCTCAGGCCTAGACAGGAGAACGATTAGGGTTCTCAACCAAAGCCTTTGGTTCAAAAACCTTACCGCAAGGATGCGGGGTTTTGACACTGGGCTACAGAGAACCCGTTTTATGAAGTAAGGAGCCGTCCTCATTCCAACCCCCAACCTGGAGGACCAGGAGACTGAGTTTGTCTGGCCTTTAACCATTGACCAATCCGGTATGAGTTGCTCTGAAGGTGCAACAAAGCGCTACCCAGCATAGCTCAATGGATGGCTGAGGCACACAAGCCATCGTACCACGTTAAGGTATAGTCTCATCGCGATGGTGGGCGCACCGCGCGAACAATGAGCGTGTTCGGTGTTGCGTATTTGGTGCAGGAAGAACAATTGAAGCGCTCAGCACTATTATATCACGCACCAGGTTCCGATGACTGGGCCATGCGTTGTGCATGTCAGCACATCAACTCCCACGACGTGCATCGTTTGCACGCTGGGGTTGCGGTTGGAAGAAGAGAAGGAAAGGCCAAGCGATGACTTGCTCGATAGAAATGAAAACCCTCACTTCGAAGTTGGTGTCGGTTGATGCATACCGACTGCCTGGCTGGGGTCCTAAGGACGATGAACACGTTTGGTTTGACACACTTGCTTATATGGCTTGGAGCCGGCCCCAATGGCGTTTGTGTTGTGAGTTTCTTTGTCCATCCCCTTCTTTTTAGCTTCCCCTCCTATTCCGATCTCATGCGAATTGCGTAACATAATACTTAACATTATATTGCCTGCTTTTAAATTTCTTTGTTGTGTAACTCTTTTGTATCGTACTTTTTTATATTGCGGCACATTAGCTGTGGTGTGTTTCTCACTCTCAACTAACGTGCATTATTGATTGAGTACAAAGGCTCCCCGCGATTTCCACTTTTTTAGGTAGTGGTGACTACTGCATGTTTTCATACAGTTGACACCTTCATTTCATCCTGGCTACTTTGAAAAAAAGACGATGTAACGCTTCGGCGATGTTCATGCCTGCTTTCTCCAATACCTTCGGTCTGCTGTCGTCTTTGCCAGGACGGCTATCTACCCGCAGGGACAATAGTCTTTTCTTCACATTTGCTGCAGTGCATGGTACGCGGTTTAAACCTGGGGGCAATGGGAGTTGTGTCAAAAACAGGCGAAGTGACGATTCACTCTGGAAAGTACAGATGAACTGTTGCCCGAACGCATTGGCGATCTGTTGTGGTGTACGCGCCAGACCATCTACTACACGTAGAACTGGGATTCCGCACTGCACTCTGCCTAAAATGTTGTCGTACCTTTACAGCGTTTTTTGATTATTACTGAATTTTATCGCTAAAATCCGTTGGTGCTGATGTTTGTCTTCACGGACCAACCTGACACAGTGGTGTGGTTGACTTACTTAGGCATCTCAGGCCCGCACACTTGGACAGGATTTATAACCGCGCTAGGCTGAATTCCCTAAAACCATACATTTTTGAATCCGATCCTTCGGGCAAATGATTTTTATTTCCGACATATTCGCCACTAGCCCGGTGAACTAGATGACAAACGCATTTCAGGCGACTACAGGCGGCTACTCGCCTAGGAAGGACCAGCTGGTTTCTTGAATAAGGTCGAACACCATGTCATAATGGGTGACGACATGGGCTTTTCCTTTGTTCTTACAGATGTATTCCGCGTAGCAGATGTAAAGGAGGAGCAGTGTCGCATAATCGCTACGGCCAAGAGGTGCACCTGTGATTTCAACCTCGATTATTTGTTTCTTGTTGGTAAGCACAAGGTGTAACATAGATGGTTCGTCACTCGTTCTGAAACTCATGGGAGAGGTGACATGGTTGTATAGCGGTACACCAGCGACTACTTCTTGCAAGTTAGCCTTGAATCGTTCGTGGAGCGAAGCTGGAATTCGATTGCGTACAAGTTGCTATCCCTCACCAGAAAACCATGACTGTATGACTGTGCCAACACCCGCTTCATGGCAGAAACTAGGCGGTGATCCATTTCTAAGGTAGACACTGAAGGCCAGTAAACTATTGCTAATTAACACACAGCACTGTCACAGGTGCAAACGGCACCAAAGAGGACCGACAACTTACGTTTTGTATGAGAATCATACCGGGTAGAGCAGTCTTAGTATTAAGCCGCGCTTCGGTAACCATGACGGTGTCCCAGTGCGTTGAGAGCCGAAAAGTACGAAGCTCAGTTGAATTACTTAGAAGACATTGTACTTTGGGATACAATCAGCCGAGGTCATCATATGTTGGAAACGTGCCTGCAGGTTCTGATTTATGGTGAAAGTCTATGCTGATTCTCGTTGGATCGGCTGTCAGTTGTTTTTTGTCGAACCACCGACATAATTCTCAGGGACATTCCGGCTTGGTGTGTAGTGTTCATTGTCAGCGGGTGCCCGATAACCTAGTCCACCTTTAGCTGCCAGGGAATTTTGAAACTGTCCCTGTTCTGAACTTCCCGTTGATGGGGTTGCACATGTAACCTGCTTGTTCAGTTCTACAGTGTCCATTTGTGGCGTGTGTTCTTCGCCTGTGCTTGTGTTCGGATGACAGCATTTTGCGCCTTTTACTATACATTTCGATCGCCTTTTATTCTATGGACTTGGATTACACTGTTGCTTTCATCACTCGGGACCCCTCCCCTCGTATTTGGACGATAAGGGTAACCTTGATGTCGAACTGGCCATAAGGTTTTCGAGTGATGCACTATACATTCCAGTCATGTGTTTTGGCTTCCAGCTTGCTTGCAGTCTGAAGTTCGGGGACACCATGGACAGGGAGTTTGCCCCGTATTCAGACACATAGGAGCATTTAACAGTAAGATAATTCAGATGTCAGGTGTTTTTCTTTTTGGTAGGACGTGTGTCTGCTTTCTTTGATCGGACAACAGATGGCATCTTAGGTCCCGCGGTAGTATAAGCTGCGCTAACTGCACCAGCTTTGGCAGCGGGCGAGACTATGATGGACAATGCATTTGTCAAGTCGGTGGCGACGTGAGACGCGCATGTTGTCGGTACTCTAGCTGTAATCGATGTGGAACGTGCTTTTGATGTAGTTTGTTCTATGAACGCATCACTGGAAGAGGCCCCAAGTATCGGAGTGCCTAACTCTGGATCTTTGCTCTTACTTTCGCCCTCAGTGCTCTGTTCTGAATTGGAGTTTAATGTTGATCATCGAGTTAGGGGCACTGATTTGTCTGGCAACAGTGAAACGGTTTTCACGGCATTTGCTTGCTCTACACTCTGTGTCCGTCTGTCGCACCTATGTGTCAACACGGCTGTACACCGGATGAGTGGAACAGCCGTACACTAAGTGTGAAACCAAACAATACCGGTCGTATTATTATGTTTATTGATCTCGCTGTGATTAAGACAAGTTCTTTTGGGATGAAAATTTTTATAACCTTTAGAGCGTTATATTATGATTTGTACACTCAAAAACCCTCCGTTCGCACAAAAATTAACGTTCAGTTGTGATTGTCCAGGCTTAAGCTTCTGTAGGCAACCAGTGCCTGTCGTTGTGCTCTTCAATTTTGTGAACGTCTCTTGCCGTAATGTCTATCCGAGCAGAATGAGCCCAAATGCTGTTGCTCAAGCTGGTGGTGTGGCTGACACGGGTTAGACTACTGTTTTGAGGCTTACTTGATGCCTTAAACACGTATTGTCACATCCGTGAGTTGTTACAGACGTTTAGGGCAAGGTCACATGGTTCACGCCTCTCTAATATGATTATGAAGCGATCTCTGGGCGTGCGCTTTCTTGTCGGTAGAGTGCGTTTGTGGTGCGGTAGACGGTTTTTCCAGCTTGGCCTGTTGATTGCCCGGGGGCTTGCCTAAGGCTGAGTGGGGTTTGCTGCTGGGGAAACGTAAATTACTTTGTCGTTGCTCGACACATTGACGAGCTGGAACGAGTAAGAGTTGTTTGGACACTGTTGGAATGCTATATCGGGTGTGACCATTGTTGGGGTTCGACGGTTGGAATCACGCGACGTTGTGCACATGAGTTTCGGCGAAAAACTGCCTGGAACTTACAAGTCTTTGGAAATGGGAGCTGTAGTGGTACTTTACTCAAACTGATGATAACTCTATGTGGAGTTGTCGAGTCAAGACAACTGTACAGTTTCAGTGATGTAAGACAAAATTCTGGTGAGTAATTCTGAAAAAATCCCAGTGTGCACGGGCGTGCGACTAGCACGCCCATAAAATGAGATAGGAGTCTATATCTGTCGGCCTCAGCCAATGCATTTTCGCGTTTAAGCATAAAATGTAATTATGAGACCCACTAGACTAAGTCACTAGCACAGATGAATTATTGGCACTGTAAATCTCATTAATGCAGTAATGTCTAAAGGCAGATTCCTCTGTGAGCATCAATATCGAATTTTCTTTTTCTCCATTACCGTGCTCCTTTCATCTCTTTTCCATCATGTGCGATTTTCCTGTGTACTGTGACTGTCTTCCTTCAGGTATTGTGTGCCGAATCTTTTCCGTTGCTGACGCTTGACATTCCATTTATGTGATAGGAACAGATTATCAAAGCTCGCTGTATAATCCACTGGACTTGATCAATTACTAATAAGTCAGTTTCACAACCCCTTACACATAACAAGCGAGGCGCGATCGTGATAGTTTAGCATCTTCCTTTGTATAAACAGGAGATTGCCCGATTCCTGCGCCCAGAAACATTGCGTGCCAAGTTTGGTATTGACAAGGTATGCAACGCCGTACATTGTACGGATTTACCCGACGACGCTGAGCTGGAGGTAAGTGAACTCTTAAGAGAACTCAAGTTATTTGCTCAACCACAGTAAATCGTTGCGCTATCGTCACTTGAGTTGACTGTGGCTTAGTTTCCTACCCTAAAAGCCGAAAAATTATCACCTCAATTTGGGGAACGAGAAATGTTTTAGTTTGGTAACCTATATTGTCTAAATTGTTCTGGATTCCTAAGCCTATTACTGCACCCAAGTGGATGGCTTTGAACTATCAATATATTGGGGAAAATGTGTAGACTAAATTTGTATTGTTTTTCGGTCAGACTGTGCTTGAGCAAACATCTAATCAGTGGACGCCAAGTTCTACCTTACTGCAAGCTGAAATGGCCTACACAGGGGTTCTATATTAACAGCCTACATATTGATGGAATTGTCAGAATAAAGGTGTGAGGAAACATCTCACAGACTCAATGTAAAATCTTCTACATTGAAGTGAACCCTATTGCTCAAACGGTGTTTTTTTACGGAAGTCGCCAATTGCGAATAAGAGTTGCTAAATGGCCCGGACGATAGTGCACAGGGAAAATGACGGCTGCATATATGCAATTTATGGTATATACGTTCGGTCTATGTCGTCATCCAATTGCAATCATGCCTTCTCATTACAGGTGAACTTTTTCTTCCGCGTACTGGACAAATGAAGCCACCAAACTAAACAAAGCAAACGGAATGCGCCTGGCATCAGAAAAGGCGATTTTGTGTACCGTATCAATCACTGTTTCGTCCAGTTCATCACTGATTACCTAGTGCAACAATCGGAGTTACCAGGAAGAAAATGCGAACTTTAACGTTCGGAGAACCTATTACCCAAACGCACAAAAAAGCCAAACTAATTTTACCTCATATACTTAATGTGCTTGCCCCAAGGCAATGAATGACTATACATGAGTGCTTAGTGATGCACCTATAAGTGTTTTTTTTTACTTGGATTTACGAGAGCCCCAGAAAGGGCCTCAAGAATCTTCTGCATTATATTGACGACCGAACTAGCCGCGTATGAAGATTAGACAGTTTGGGCGACTCGTTAAAAGGGACCAGAACGTAAGCGGCAAGATCAGAAATATAGGTTAGATCAGTCGTTCAAGGAAATCGACCTGTGAATGGTAATTAAATGCAATCTTCAGGTTATACTGACGCGTGAAGTAGTTCAAAAGATATGACTACGAATTAATGGCTTGGGGTCAGTCGTACATGTAGTTGTGCGTAGGTGTCGCGACAAGACACTGACTCGACTTCACAGCTGGTCTGGGCACCTAGCATTCAACCAACGAAGGACTATCTGGAACGCTTTGCAGAACGCGGGCGCACAAAGGACCGGTTGGTTTGTAGCGGTTTTACAACCTCTTCCTGGGCACCGATTATTGCAGTTGAAACGGTACGTCGTACTCTGCAGTATTAATATTTTGCTAGGTTCTACACGCCCTAACAACCTGGTGACTACGCAATGAAAATGCTTGCTACCTCTGTCAAAACGAAAAGCTCAAGGAAGAGACAGGTGGCTTCTGATACGCTGGCAAAACATCTTGCTTATAAACTACTCATCAGAACGATAAAAATGTAAGGTTCCTCCTCTAGGCTTTACATAAAACCGAAATCGTTCGTAAGCGTGAAAAACCAATCCAAAGATAGTTCTCATAATGTTTCTCTTATACAACATATCATGCTTAATACAGAATCGCCCTCTAAAGCGATTCCAATGATTGCTGCGCTTGTACTACGGCTGAGGGACTTGAAGGTGACGTCTGAACCTCTTATCCAAGTTCCAAAGCAATTAAATTCTCTTGTGTATCTTTTTAACACTCCGGATGCACCGAAAACTGAGCAACTTAAATTCGTTGTGAATTTTATTCAGCATGTCGCTTTCGAGATTCTTCAGTGCATAGGATGCTCCAAAAATATTAACGCATTTACGTTACTGGGTATGTTATCGCTTGAGGCTCTCTTGACCGCAGTGGCCAACCAGTGCCACATAGATAGACTGCAGCCTTCTTCCGTGAGGCTGCGAAAGAAGTCTCTAAAACAGGTCTGTCCAATACTTTTTAAATTTTCCAACGAAACACGCCGAAATATTCATTTGTAGTGAGAGCAACTTATCCCTTTGGGATGATTACGGATCGTCTGTACTGAAACCAGACTTAACAATTTTACAAAGTGGGTACAAAAGACGTGTTACCGACAAGCAGCTTGTGACCAGTCTGCTCCGCTACCCCCGGAAACTCGTGAAGTTTCCCACTTTGGCCATAAATGAATCCACTCTCGTGTTGAAAACAAATACTAATTCCCATAAAAATATCGCTTCTGACTTCACCGTTACTGTACAACTCGTCCCCGAACATGAACGAAAGTTTCACTGCACAAACGCCTATGTCTGCTCACTCTGTCCCTCACCTACTAAGTGCACAGATGCTCTGGTACGAAACCGAAAATCCCTTCATCAAAACCTGTGCATCTCTAAAAGTTAAAACACTGAGGTACAACCTTATTGTAGAGAACATTAGTAGCAAAACCTCACGTGGCATCTATAGCGTCTCTTCTAAGCAAAATAAGAGCACTACTATTTCAAACGTTTGACCAAACGATGCCACCATTGGGTTCTTGCAGACAATCGGCATTTCACCAACGGCTTGATATTTGAGTATGCAACCTGCGCGCTCCATAAATTGTGAGCCACTTGCTAGTGAAATTCACGTAGCCGAGCGAAATTGGGAAAACCAAAATCCTCCACACGTAAAAAGCCTTTAAAGACAGATAGGTTAACTGCAGCAATCAAAAAACTACAATTTCACAGAGGATCTACATTTTCCCAGTATTTCGTCCTTCCAATATTTTTAGGGGTCCTGAGGCGCTTTAATCGCAACAACCCCAACTGACGCTAATTTTGCAAAGTATATATCCTCCGTATCCACTGCCTCCATCTCGTTGGGGTCTGCGTGGAATCCTGTAGGCAACCCAACGAAGAATGAGACACTGCATCTACTATTAGTTAATTCTCGTTCATTTATTAATAAAATGCACTTCTTGCGTAATATTCTTCATCTTTCATCTCCCGATGTAGTACTAATAACAAAAAGACGGTGTTCAGTGGAGATGCCGGACACTGTTTGGGATATTAAGTTATGATAGCTTTCGTAATAACCACCCTTCTGCGAAGGTTTGTGGCTGTCTAATCTATGTCAAAGACGCATACATAGTTCTTACTCTGGAGTAAACCACTCTTTCGGATAATTCCTGATTCGGTGTGGATTACAAATTTTAGTTCTCCAACAAATTTCTTAGTAGGTTGCATGTACAGACCACGCTCATCTGTGGTCATCTTAACATGATCTGATAGACACTTTTTCTTTTATTTCCAACCTCTCATACACGAATAAAATTATCACGGGGGATTTTAATATGCCCGAAATCAAGTGGTCACTTAACAATGAACCACAAAAGCGCAACACTTTTATGTCTACCCTTGGTCGACTAGGATGGATACAACACGTCAAAGAGCCTACCCGATTTAGTAACACATTTGATCTAATATTTACTATGGGATGTTCAAATGTGTCCAAATGCATCGGTGGTAGATTACCGGCGTGATCACATCATCGTTGGCTTGTTTTCCAGATTCTTTCCAAATCGATAGAGTCATTGACCAAATACTGCATATTCTCTTCTGTGAATTGGTCAGTCTTCCTAATTCTCACAAAGTCTTCGAATTGGGATCACCTTTTCCTAGCATATTATGTACAACTTGCTTATGATAAGCTCTTCCATCGTATTCAGCTTTGAATTGATGTTGTGGCTCCAGAATGCATTAAGACGTTGGAAAGTATTGCGGCTCCAGCAGATATTGTAGGACTAGTCAATACTAGTCCGAGACGATGCGCGGAATTAAGCGCGGATATCAGAAGGCAATTGGAGTCGGACACAGCGGACTGTATTCGATGGGCTACAACAATAAGCGGACGGATGAAGCGAGGCAAGAGCGTACACGTGAGCGCGGGGACTTACAAGGCAGTTGTGTGTCGAGCCGGTTGTAAGATTAAAACAAGAAGGAGTAATGTACAATCGGTTAACAAGTAAATTGTACACGAAAGATAAGAGTTATCTTTTTGGGCGCTACAGAGCTCCCCCCCCTAGAAGGCTGAACATAGAAAGCCTTCGAAATCGAAAAGGAATGTCGAAACGAGGTTCGTAAGGCGAAATCGTTTT